GGTGGGCGATGGATGGGCGGCGCTGCCACATGCGGATCGGGCGCATGCGACAACTGTGGCTGGGGGATTCGTTAATGGCGATGACAGCGGGCAATGTGGGCAGTGGATGCGGCGCTGGCGACGATGGCTGGCCAGCTCGGCGCCCGGGAGCAAGCGGCAGGCGACGGCCAGGCTGTTCAGCGGCCAGGAGCGAGCGGTGGTGGGCGACGGACGGGCAGCGCTGCCACGCGCAGATCCGGCGCAGGCAACGACTGCGGGTGGTGGGGACGGCAGATTCGTTGGCGATGACTGTGGATGGGGATGTGGTGCTGGCGACGAAGGCAGGTAGGGGGGCAACGGATCCATTGCCGACGACGACTGTGGGTGGTGAGGGCGGTGGTTCTGGCGCGGGCGACGATGGCGGATAGTGGGGATGGCCGATCAGGCACTGACGAGGCGACAATGACTACGGGAGGTAGGGGCGGCGGATCCTGTGCCGCCGACGACGGTGGGCGGTGGAGGCGGAAGATCCGTTGCTTCAACAGTAAACGGCGGGCTCTGGCGGCGTGGATCCGACTGTCGACGGGAACAGGCTAGGGTTTGGGGTTTTTTATTTTTATTTTTTTCATCGAATTTATTTTTGCATGCGGCATGTGAATGCGATCGGGCTGGGTGCATGAAAAATCCCTTTTAGCCCTATGTAAAAACAATTTATGTAGTAGTGTAAACTTATATTATATTTATGTTTTACAAATAACATAGGGATCTTAAAGAATAAAATAAAGTACTATAACATTGAGAACAAACGTATCAGTTCTAATGAGCTAATAAGTATATACTACTTTGTTAGAAATAATTTCTACGCAGGGAGAGAAGTCATGCATAATTAAAAATAACAAGGCCCACCAAGCACGCAGAGACTTAAGGATCCAGCAGTGACGGCCGCCATCACGTCGTTGTTCGTCCGTCGGCTGGCTCTGGCTGACATCCCGCAGGTGGATGCTGCCGCCGGCGGCTGCTGCCCTGCGGTGGTGGTCGTCGCCTTGGCTTCCGCATTGCTGTTGCCCTTTTGGTTCTTAGCTTTCTTGGACTTGGAGCTGCATCCGCCCATGTCGTCGACGGTGGCGGTGGCTAGATGCGCAATCGATCGATCAGATTAATTTCGATCACCTCCGATGCGTCACTTCACCGGCCGGGTTCTGTACTACTCTTTTGTTAACGATGTCTGTATTCTGGGATCTATTAGTACATAGGGACAGATAACTGGGTTTATACAGGCAGATCGAGGAGGTGTGTACCCGAGATCAACACGTAGGCGAACCGGACTCGCTGGGACCCAGCTGTTCAAATCCAACCCGGTTTCCGACTTATGCTGAATTCTTTAGTTAGTTTTAATTTGCTGAAAAAATTTCCCGCTTTAGAAATTAGTAAATGATAGCCATTCAGAAAAAACAATTATATAAAAACTTCTTTAAAAATTAAAGAAATCTATTTTTCATTCGATTGATAATTTGAAAATCGCTTGTGCCATTTGACATACCACTTAGTAAACTCTAAGGCAAACTGCCAGTTCGGACAGTAAGCGTACTTAGTTTATTTTGAGCAAAACCTTAACTAGTTAAGGCTATTTTAATTTGAAGCTCTACTAAAGTTTTGGTCATGTCAACTCTTAAGTAAGTTTTGGCACTGTAAATTGCACGATATGACAATTAGTTAAAAAGAACTTCGAATGTGAATAAATTACTGTTACATGGAGCACGGGCATGCACTACCAATCACAACTAGAAAAAATATTTTTCAGTGGCCGGCGGCCATAACCTCCACATGCACCCAAAGGCATGCGAAAATCAATAATTTTTACAGGCAGATCCCTTGTCTGCCTATGAAAATCATTTTTTAAGACAACCTCTCCATCTTCGTAGGCGCTAAATCCACACGCCTGCGGAAATATTTTCAGCGTAAAAAAAATTGTCGTGCCCGGGCCTACCCACCGCTGCCGCCCTAGGGTTAGTATTTTGGGACGGAGAAGGAGGGAGGGGAGGGGAGCTGTGCCGCTGTCACCGGATCTGGGATGTGAGAGCGCTGCCGCCACCGACTTCCTGCCTCAGCGCCGCCTCTGCCGCTGCCGGTCGCTGCCGCCGCCCTCCACATGGCATAGCTGGATCCGGGAGAGGAGGGAAGGGTCACCATCGGCTAGATCTGGGAGGTGGGTGCGCCGTCGCCTACGACCACCCGCCTCCAAGCTGCCTCAACCGTTGCATGCGGCCGCGGGAAGTGGGAGCGCTATCGCCGACGACCACCTGCCTCCAAGCTGCCTCAGTCGTTGCATGCGGCCGCCGCCCTCCCCACGACGAAGCTGGATCTGGGAGGGAAGGGGAGCACCACCGCTGACCTCTCGCCTCCGCCGCTTCATGCAGCCGCCGTCGCTGCCCTCCTCATGATGCAACCGGATCTGGGAGTAGAGGGGAGGGAAGGGCAACCGTTGGCCGGATCTGGAAGATGGGAGTGCCGTCGCCGACCTCCCACCTCCGCCGCTGCATGTGGCCGCCGCTGCCGCACGGCTGCGCCCCGCTGCCATCTGCCCCACGCCATGTCTAAGGAGAGAAAGGGAGAGGAGCGCCGCCGGCCACCGCCCTCTCCCCTCCCCTCTCCAGCCAGATATGGGTGAGAGGGAGGGGAGGGAGCCACCGGCGAGAGTAGATGCCACCACCGCTTGGAGCCGCCACCGGCACCGCCTGGTAGCCGCCTCCGCCGGACCTACGCCAGGGAGAGGAAGGGGAGAGGTAAGGGAAAGGTGGGAGGGGGAAGATGTAGAGGGACATAGAAAATTTTGGTTGCGTGATGGTTTTAAGATGCTTTAACTTTTTTGCAGGTAGATCTCTTAATAGGTCCGCCTGCAAAAAATTATTTTCGCAGGCGGACAACTATCTTATCTCACGGTTATCATTTTCGTAGGCGGCTATTTAGCTTCGAGAGACCTATCTGCCTGGAAAAAAATGCCCACGTCTAGAAAAATGTTTTTTCTAGCAGTGAATCAAACTTGTGGTAGAATTATCATATTTACTGCTATAAAAAACCATTTTCACCAACACTCCCACATTTGTAACGGGTTTGTACATACGGACAATAATCAATGTGCTAAGCCTTCGACTCCGCATGATTTGTAATTTCAGTCCTCACCCACATCTACTCCTATCCTTCCTCCTCTACTCGCCTGGGGACTACCCGCTGCTTGTTGATGAGTGGGGGCGAAACTTGAGGTGGGTATGTTCGGTTAGGGAGGGTTATATGAAGGGTTTTATCATGATTTTCCCCCTTTGCAGTATCATGGTGGTACTTCAGGTCATGGTAATATGTGTAGAATCATGTCTTGTGGGTAAAGTTGTACGTCTCTGATCAGAGTTAAAAACTATTCGAATAGCTGTGCCCGCGGTTATTGGACAGTCAACCAGCTCACGGTGATTAGTTTCATACTTAATAATATGACATAATGAACTGGTGTAGTTCAGGTGGTTTGGTTGGACCTGTTGCAACGTGGTTTAGCGTTTGGTAGTGATATTTTAATATTGCTTAATTATATCTACTGTTTCACTGTATTCGAATTATGATTTATAAATGCTGCTTTTATGCAAATATCCTATAGCCTATCCTTTGTGAATATCTTGCATCATACCTTCTTGTCGGTATGACTTGTTGAGTACAGTGGTTGGTACTCAGTTTTGCCTTTTTTTTTCCACCTCAGAGGCAGAGAATTGTTCAGACGGTGAGTTCTATGAGGATTGAGCTTGTTCCGAATGTTGAGGATGACTATGGTTTATGGAGGATGCTATGTTTTTTGTCGTGAAGATTAAGTTTAGATTATTTGTTTATTTCCACTGCGTTTGTAAGAATTATTTATTATTTTTGTAAGACGTGGATATGTTTATCAATTTGTTGTTTGTGTACTCTGGCTGGTCCTGGACAGAGATTTTAAGACATATTCTGCTTGAAATTCGGGTAACGAATTTCTGGGCGTGACAGTCGTGATCTCCATCGCCACCGTCCGTCATCGTCGTCTTTCCGTAGCCACACGCCTATCGTCTTTATCACCGCACCTCTTTGAAACTGAAGAGGTAACTATACCCAAATACATATAACCAAGCAAACAAAATCTCTTTCAAACTGTATCTCATGCAAGCAATGAAGCACAATTCTAAACCAATACAACCAACCAAACAACTGCATTTATCTCTCCTCATCCATGCTAAACTATGCCAGGTTACAAGGATACAAGCAACCAAACACACTCAAATTCCCTAATTAAACTATAGCTTTTTACGATTTAATAATTCCTAAATTTGGGATTTAATAATTCCCAAATTTGGCATTAAAAATAGAGTCGTCGGTGTATTTTTCATCATTAAACAATTCTTGAATTTGAAATTAATATGTACTCAAATAAGGGTGTTATCGATCGGTTACCCTAATAAACCAAAACTAAAGCCAAAATTTAAATATTCAAACTGAATTTTGAAGTTGATGTTAAAAGTATTCTCAATGTTATTTTTTACATTAATTTTTAGGTCGCTAAGGAAACATCTATAAAAGTTTTATCCTATAAATTAATATTTATTTCATAATAATTTGTTTTGGTTTATCAGAGAAGATGGGCAACCGATGAGGCAAATACTTTCGCGACTCCCATTAAAGTTTTTCATGATTTAATAATATTTTTTAAAGATGTAATTTTGGTTCAATTGACAACATATATCCTGCTATTTAGCAGGGCTCAAAATGTTGTAATGTTGGAAATCTTGGGTCTAACTGCCCCCCAATAATAAATTACTTCACCAGAAAAAAAAGGAATATTTCTAAAAAATTTTAAATTTAGCAAAAAGAAAAATTCAAACTTAACTTACATATTTTTTTTGTCTTAGATTAGTGTAAAGTTTTTTCCGTTACGAAAAACGTACACTCAATTAGTTACTAACATAGTTTTATCATACCATTATTGGTCCCCAAGCTTGCCATTTCCAAGCATCTGCTGCACCCAAAACAAAAGCTTGAAATAAATTATTCCCCGTTGTTCAACTGCTGGCTTAATTAGAAGCCTTATTATTCCGACACTAAACACTTAGAACGTAGTTACAAACACCAACACAAACATATTTGCACCAGGTCTCCAGTTACATGGCAACTATCAAGTTACTGCAGTTTGTTCATTGATCAGAAGAAAACCAGCATTATATTGCAGTTACTGTTACCACCAGTGGAAATTATATTCTCCACTGTCCATTCTATGATCAGCTTCCTTCCATCTTGCTTCTATTCACTCGGTGATGACACCATTGGCGACGGCGGCGATGGCGAAAGCAGGGTGGAAGAAGTGGACATTGGCTCATGGAGTACACTGTTGGTCGAAACCGATATTGGATTGCCATCTAGCTGCAGCATCACTGCCCCAAGGATCTCAGTGAGCAATTTCTTGAACTCCGTTTCATCCACCGCCTTCCCGTCCTCGGCTTTCGCCATCTTGAACGCCTCATCGACCACAGCATCTACCTGCAGTTACCAACTTACCATAAGCCTTAGATCTGAACATACAATGTGTTTTGGCTGGTTTTCCTGAAAATTACTGATGAAATGATTGGTAGCAAATGAAATTCTACCTGTTCAACAGCTCCATATGGTGGTAGATTTATGGAGTCAGCCATCCTATCGAACGCAACCCGAATGTACTGCTTCGCTGTTCTATCTTTTTCTTTCGGTACGCCTCTCCAAACACAATCCAACAGCTTGATCACAAAAGATAGTATAAGTAGATCGGTATGAAGTAACACTAATATATAGGAGTATATTTTTATGGGAAGATGATGACATCGAGGATAGAAACAATACCGTACCTTATCTAATTCGAGCTTGTTTGACAGCAGCTTCTTGATACCATTCCCATCAAAGGTGTTCTCGGTATGTGCTACAATCACAGGGTGCCCTTGGAGTCGCTGCGTGAGGATTGCCAAGAACTTTCTGAATTCCTGGAAGAAGACCTCTTGAGTGACAGGTTGCTCCAGGTTATCACCATGGAGTTCTTGCAATGCAGGTTCTATGATATTCTCCATAACCTGTAAAAAACAGCCAACCTTACTAATTTCTCTCTTAACCTCATCTCCACTCTGTTTTGTCAGTCTCGGTAACAGAATAACTGTTACTCTGTTATATTTGTTACCCTGTATGAAATGATTTCGTTTTCTGCTCTGAATTATGTAACACATTCATTGGCAATTACCCATGAATCTGAAGCCGGTGGCATGCCGTGGTCGACCGTCAGTTGTCGAATAGCAGCTAGCATGCACTGCTGCAAGGTTGAATTTCCTGATTCAACTTGCGAAAATATGGCAGCCATCTCCGGTTCGTACCTTGGGCTCTCAACAAATTCATTCAAATCTTCACCGTTAATCCTCAAGATCACAATGGGGTCCCTCTTTAGTCCAGCCGCCATGCCAAGAAGTATGTCAGAGAGGACACGCTGGAACTCTGACTTGCTCACCGATTCTTTCTTCCCTTTTGTGAACTCGTTAAGAACCTGCAGGTTAATTCCATGAGCCATGAGATGAATTAGACAACAGTAATTATCGGATGTTTTGGTTCAAGATTATCCAGGAAATGTGATTAAAATTTTACTGCAAGTTACTGACAATGTATAATGGAAGTAGAGCTCATGAACAGACACCTCTCTGGAAGAAAATCCAGTAAACCATTATTTTTGTCACTGTCAAGAGTAAGCAAGAGAACATGTGTCAAAAGGAACTAATATTTATCTAAGAAATCGTTATAGGCATCATCTTTCGAAAAGATGTGTCTAAGAAACCGGAATGATAAGTTACAGCGATATCAGAATGTTCAGGAGGTAGACACCTAGAACATGCTAGACAAATTGGATGGGAATTTGAAAAGGATGATGACTTTGGCCACACAAGAGCAGTCACTTTCAGTAAGATTATCTTGTTCTGTCAACTGATAAGTCTTGGGGCTAGATCATTAGAATGTGACGTTTTCCTGGTTAATTTAGGCACGTTCCAGTTTCTTCCATTTGGCAGGTCAAAGCAATACTCATACTCTAGTGGAATTATAGGAAAATCTCAAAATACTTTCTTCTATATTCACCCTGAGTGTATTCATTTCCAAAAGAAATTCTTCAGACAATTTCAAAAAGAACAAGTCCAAAAAAACCCTTTTTTATGGGAGTCCATAAAACCTTTTCATCTGTAATGTACTAAATACTGTAATGAAACCCGTAAAGTGAAAACACATCTTTTCCATTTTCCATGAAATCTAGTGCATCATTTTTTTGTACTGTCAGATTATAACTTTTTTTCTGAATAATTGCTTAATTTGCTTCCTAGAGCCACCATAAAACTTCATATTCGTTTCTGTCATGGCCAGATGAGCCAAATCATATTACTAAACTGAACAAAATAAACATAAAAGAAGTGTCTGATTTTTTTAATGCATTATTCGTGTCCTTGAAGAGGCATAACGCTATAATAACTATTACAGAGCACCATATAGATGCTGGTTGGAAACCACTTAATTATAAGTGCCGGTTTCTCAACCGACACCAATTTGGCGTCACCTATGCCAATTGACATAGGTGTCGGTTCTAAGTATCCAACCAGTATTTTTGGTTTTCCATTATTTTAAAAAAATAGAAATGCCCAAAATGTACTCCCTCCGTCACAAAATTCAAACAATTTTGGTTGGATAGACATATCCTAATACTACGAATCTGGACTATCTACATTCGTATTACTAGGATGCGTATTATCAAATCAAAATCCCTTATATTTTGGAACTGAAGGAGTAATGCTTAGTGAAAAGCATCAACGGTTAGTAGAATCAAAATAATGAGCCCGTATGTACAATATGCTATCTCCTTGTTTAAGAAAAGAGAAACACTCTCCCCCATTTTGATCGCTTCCTTTTAACCAATTTTATTATACGCTGGCTGACTTTGAATGCCATGAGAAAATCAAACTTTAACAATTATAATTAAACTACTCCCTCCATTTTTAGATATATGATAACAATGACTTTGATATATAACGTTTGCTCCCTTTTTAAATATATTGTAATGTTGACTTTTGTACATAACCTTTGTCGACCATTAGTCACAAATATGAAAATAAACATTTTTAAGTTTTTCTATCTATTTTTTTTCTCACCATTGTATTTCCATTAACAATGTTCTACTGAACATCTAGAATTTGTAGATGAATAGCTCTCTTTATCCTCACTCCTTATTAGTTTATTTCGCCTACACTTCCCTCTTGTTTGTACTCTCATACAAGATTTATTTATTTAATAAATAAATAAAAATGCTAAAAAAAGTTGACAAATTTTACGATCGTGAGTCATGCTTATATTATCTTTAATGACAAAACAAATAGATTAGTCGAAAATATGAAAAAAAATGCATGAGTCAAGCTTATTTTATCTTTAGTGAAAAAATAAAAAGATAAATTGATACTTAGACAAGAGTTTCTAAAATCAACCGCAAAACGGAGGTAGTATGTGTTTCCAAAATCAACAGCAAAACGGAGTTAGTATATGTACCATTAATTACAAGAAATCTGTTGTATCTTCTAAAAGATTTTGAAATATGAAATATATATATATATAAACCTATCTTAATTCTAAAATACGTTCGTGACACATGAACATGAACATGACAAAAATCGACCAAATCGGTAAAGACATTAAGACAGTTAACAGCTGTAGGTAGCGTCAACTTCATGACACACTGACACACATCAGGATGTATTTCCCTCTAGAAATAAATGAACATCAGGATATACAAGGAATTACTACCTCAGAGTAGATGTGGTCGGCCTGCGCCGACGACCCCCTCGCCGGCAACCCGATGGCGGCGCCGATGTCAGCGACGGCCGGCTGGAGCTCCCTCACCGACAGCCTCCCGTCGCCGTCGGCGTCGAGCAGCCTGAACTTCTGCTCCACGAACTTACCAAACGCCTCCTTGTTCTCCACCAGCTGCAGGATCTCCGACCCGTCCACCACCACCTCGCCGTTCCTCCTCCTCCTCACCTCCTGCTGCTGCTGCTGCTGGCCGTTCTCCATCTTGCCCGACGCCATCAGCTTCCTTTTCTACAACCCAAAAAGTTCCCCAACTTGCAGCAATGGCACCAAGCTCCCCGTGAACACAACCTAGACGAAGAGTATACTTCGATCAGTCTCTCGCAAAAAGGTGGCAAAAAGTGTGTGAGCTAATCACAAGATGATCGAGCTGAAAACCAGTAGCTTTCTTGCCTTTCTTGTTTTTTTCTTTCTTTCTGCGGTTTGTTTTTGCGTCGATTTCTCCGTTGCAGCTGAAGTGCTGTGCAGTTTGGTGGATGTATCATTTATAGATTCGTCGTTGGCCTGTGACTTCTTCTGGTTGTGTGTAGAAGCGTGGCAAGCTGCAAAACGGATAGGATTTGCATGGGACGCGTGTTGGGTTTCACGGCATTCTTTCGGTTATTTTTGTTATCTTTTCCAGGCGTATCGTAGACTGAACTCAATGTCCCCTCGTTTAGCTTATACCTATCCATATATTCAACATGCTTTATTAATCTCTACTATTATAAAAATTAAAGATATTTTTGCTCGTATTTTAGTACGTTATCCGTGTATGAGTCTATTTGTAAGTTTATTTGCATTTAAAAATGCATATCCGTATTTGAGAAGTTTGTTTGCAATATAACTTGAGATGATCGGATTCCTAATTACAGCTCCTGATTTTCTAAAAGAATATATATCAAGCGAATTCTCACAGTGAAATTTTACTTTAGTTATACTGTATAACAAAAATAAGATTAAAATAATTTTCACCCGTTGTAACGTACGGGCATTTTTTTCTAGTCATAATAAAAATTAAAAGCTAATGTTTTTTGTTTTTTCTAATTTTCTTCAATTATTAAAATGTCACGTGGCGATTTAGTAGAGTGTCAAGTGATGTCTTATGACTTATGAGCTTTTGTATAAAGTTTATTAAACTTTTACTAATATATAATAGAAGATAGATTTATAAATAAACTTTTATGTATGTATTTTTGGGATTTAAAAATAAATATTATAAAGCAAATTACGGTGATAAAATCATAAAATTAGGTTTCAACATTTAAATTTTGATTTACAAATATAGGACTAAAAGAAGCGAGGAGGGTGCGAGTTGCGTGATGAGCTAGCTGACGAGAGATGGGCTGCTCTGAGAATATGTTCCTTATTGTTGGAGCATAGGGACACGTACGTTTGTCCTTGATGTAGTGACAGTGCATATGTAGACTGCACGAGGGAGATTTTGCACATAAAGGTATTTAATGTAATCTAATCCAAAGGAGCAAATAATAAAGTTGATGTGTATCACCGAGTGAACACGTGCCGTAACGGAGTACGCGCTGTAACACATCACCTATATTACTTGTTGACATTTGAGCGAGGAGAAACGTATGCGAGATAAAAATGTACAGAACTACAGTATGCAATTCCGACTTATAATCCTCTCTCTCTCTATATAAATGCTTTTACTGAAAGGACACTTAATTAAGAATAATAACAACCTCTATAGAATTAGAGCAAGTTTAATAGTATAGGCAGCTGCTAACTCTAAATCATTTATGACCAATGTAATAGCCAATTCATACAATAGTAAGCAACTATTGTATCAATTCATACAATAGACGACGGCTCGAAGAGGTGTGAATCCCTTCTTTTTTTTATTGCATAAATTTGATGCAAATTTTGTGTTGTGGATGAATGTTGGATGTGGATGCGGATGTGCTTGCTGTGATGAATGTTCTTGTTCATTCTTGTTCTTGATGAATGTGATGCGGATTTACTTATTCAGTCTTGTTCTTGATGAGTAGAGTAGTTGAGGGACTGCTCGGCTCAAGCCGATGCATAGGACCGGCTTTTTTTTATTCGTCGAACCTAAAAGGTGTCGGTTCTAAGTAACCAGGACATATTTGATTTCAAATCAGCGCCACCTCCCTTGTGCCGATTGGGAAAACCGGCACCTAAGGGGGTTTCCCAATCGGCACTAATCTCTGTTTCTGTAGTAGTGTGGGCCCCACGGGTCAGTGGTATAGATGGCCAACTAGGCCACCTAGCCCAGCACGGCCCAGGCATGACCGGGCCTAGCCTTAGGTCAATTGGGCCGCCATGGCCCGACCTACACGTCGGGCTGGACCGTGCCAGCCCTTGGGCCGCACACTCAACCCAGGCAGGGGCCCAATAAGACTCAGGTCGTGCAAGGCTGACCCAAAGGCATGACAGCCTATCGTGCTTCTTAAAAAATAAGTCTATTTTTCCTCCCTTATATCTTTGGGCTATATCTTACATGGCCAGAATAAGTCTATTTTGCATCCCAATGCTCTTGGGGCCGTGCCTCAAATGGCTGAGGTAAGTCTATCTATGGTCTCTTAATTCTTTTTCTTTGATCGTGTCGTGCCGTGCCGGGCCAGCCCACCGTGCCGAGGGAGCAGCCCACCGGGCCAGCTCTTGTTCGTGACAGAGAAGGTGTTCAATTAGATGATTTATCAACAACCTTTTTGTACTACTGCGCACGATCCCATGTTAATCTATCTCCCTTGATGCGTACATGCGGTAAGATGCTTCATTCTCTTAGCTATTTGACTTTTGTAATTTGTTGATGCCTTCCATTTTATTGCTGATATATATACACACACATATACATACCTATGTATATATACATATATATATATATATATATATGTGTATCTATATATATATATATATATATATATATATATATATGTGTGTGTGTGTGTGTGTGTGTGTGTGTGTATATATATTCAGAAATTGCAGATTTGTATAGCATTCTGAAAAAAATATATTTTCTGGATTTTATTTGTTTGGTTGTTGCTATGAGCAGTAATGTGTTTTTTACTGTCTGTATATCAAAAAAAAATAACTTTGTTAGAGTGATTTTGCAAAATCATACATTATCAGCCTGCAAGTTAGCAAAGTTTGTACTGATAAACATTCTTATATCAGTAGCTCCAAAACTTTTGTGTACGCGAATTGTCACGCGCTGATTTTCTTTCGGTATTAAAAATCACTAAACAATGCATTTCTAAAAATTATATTAAAAGTTAAAGCAAGTTCCCAAGTGAAATGAAATGTGGGAAATAAAATTTCCTTAAACATCATGGCCAGAAATACTTTAGTAATATTCTCCACGCCCTAAAATACTCTCTGAAATTTCCGGTGAATCTTCGGAGCTCAAGAAGTAATTATAATAATACAAAGTATATTTAATCAATTAAATAAATTTATAAACAAATTAAAATCCCTCCCTTCACTTTGGGCTGCTTCCGGCCCAAAGCCTCCTTCTCCTCCATCGGCCATTCCCGCTTCATCCCAGCCCCAGGCGTTGCCGCTGCCGCAGCCGCCCACCGTCCAGCCACTGCTGTGCGCGCCTGCCTAGCCGCGTCGCCCGGTTGCTCCTAGCTGTTCGATCGGCTCTCAGGCCAATCTGGACCACCCGCTCCCGTGGACCACATCCATGGTCTCGGTTCACGCTGAGCCGACGCCTCTCCTCTTGTAGACGCGTGTGGCCTGCCTTTGGTGGACTCGGTCCGCATCCGCCCCACGCTGACGTAATAACCCTTGTTTTCCTTCAAGAAAACATATAATAATTGCACAATAATTCGGTTTAATTCTAGAAATTCATTTAGAATTTCTAAAATTCATACAAACTCGAAATTAAGCCATTCAACCTGCAGAATTCATCTAGAATTGAGCTCTACATGTCTGTGTACTTTTCAAGTTTTGTATATTTGGTTTTTATTAGATTTTTTCCTTATACTATGTGCCAGCACATAGATTCCGTCGCCTCGGAAGATCGAGTTCATGAGGAAAAGTGTTCGGAAGATCTTTTGGAGAAGTAAGGTAAGTCACACATTCCCCTTGAGCATGTTGAACCTAATTTACGAAATGTTTTACCATTTGCAAATAAATTGTATGTTTTGCTAATTACATGGGAATAGGGTTTACTATCTGCTCACTTGAGCCTCGTTTACTTAATATCTATTATTTGTCAAACCTTGGGTGATAATTTTACTAGCTTGTGTTACTCATGTTGACATCTTGGCGAGTATAACCTCTTTACAAACTCCAATAGTACCAAATTCGACTCCTCATTCTATACGCACACATTCTCCCGACCGTGTGCCGCATGGAATCTTCAACAACCACGTGCATTTTTCTTTAGCCTAAGCATCTTACATGATTATCCTGATCATCCAGACAACATCTTCTCCCAAGATGACTCTCACTGTATCATCGGCAATACTCCCAAGGCATCAAGACACACCTAAATATGAACCAAACAGGAAACCATATCCGAGTACAAGTTCTTTCCCAGCTTGACTCAACATTAGTAGACAACTGTATTACATACGTATAGAAATCATCTAGAAGTCATAAACATGTAATCACAAGTATCCAAATAAACAACCCGAAACTGACTTAGCATCAGCCGGTCAAACCATCGGGGCATCGGGCTAGCCGATCTGGCCGTGCAACACACGCCGGTATGATCGGCCATGTCCATCTGGTCTAACAGCACTAAACAATCAGCAACACCACCACTTCATCAAAAATCACCAAATATCAAAACCAATTATATCAAGACAATTGTTCAGCAGAAAATAATAAAAACACACACTTTGATTTTACATAAATTATCATCAAATTGTCATATCTTGGCTACTCCAATTTGACCAATTTAACTTTCTAATTTTGACTAAAATCATGAATAATCTATTTATGCTAATCTGATACTAAGAGTCCCTTTTTCTCTTTTGTTTTTGATCATTTTTTCACAAAGAAAATACCACTCGATTACATTGCTAATTTCATCTGATCATTTTTTTTCTAAATCCATCTCCATCTATAAAAACTCAAATTGAAGCAAACCATAGTGAATATAGTGTTTCATTTACATATATATATACACACACACACATATGCCCTTGACATGATATTCCAATTTGTTGTTACATATGCAGTAATTTAGAACACATGGATCTTTCTTTACAGCACATACTAGAGTTGACAATACAGACATGGATAACGGTGATCACGAACCCACTTAACCATGAACAATTGATTCCATAGTGTAGATGATTACTTTTGTATTTAGTTTATACCAGTTGAGAATGGGTTACGTAGCACCATTGCCTCTACTGTGATTCCGGGTCCAAAGGCCAGCATCACTCCCCACTCAGGCTGTTGTTGCACGCCTTCTTCCTTCTCCCGACGGCGGCGCAGCTCATCAAGAACGAACGCGATCATCGCACCACTCATATTCCCGTACTCGCTCAGCACGTGGCGGCTCGCCGCAAGCTTCCCTGGCTCTAGCTGGAGCTTGCCC